TGATTTGGTAGATATAAAGAAACATTATGTTGCTTACTATTTTTGTGGAAACGGTGATACATTTTTTCAGGATTTTTTGTTATATGAAGTGTCTTTACTGTCACTTTTACTGTTCATAAACCTTTGAATGGTAGTATGCGTGTGTATACACTAGTCAAAAGTTTTTGAACAGTAAGATTTTTTATGTTTTTTAAAGAATTCAAACCAAGCCTGTATTTATTTGATCCAAAATACAGCAAAAGCAGTAATATTGTGAAATATTTTTACTATTTAAAATAACTGTTTTCTATTTGAATATATTTTAAAATGTAATTTATTCTGCATTTTCAATGCTGAATTTTTAGCATCATTACTCCAGTTACATGATCCTTCAGAAATCATTCAAATATTCTGATTTGCTGCTCAAAAAACATTTATTATTATTATTGTTGAAAACAGCATTTTTTCAGGTTTCTTTGATGAATAGAAAATTTCAGAAGAACAGCATTTATCTGAAATAGAATTTTTTTTGTAACATTATAAATATCTTTATCGTCACTTTTGATCATTTTAAAGCATCCTTGCTAAATAAAAGTATTAATTTCTATCATTTCCCAAGGAAAAAATATATATACTGACTCCAAGCTTTTGAATGGTATATGTAGCCTATAATGTTACAAAAGCTTTTTATTTCAGATAAATGCTGATCTTTGGATCTTTTTTATTTGATCTTTCTTACTGTTCAAAAATTTATTGACTGATAGTGTATGTATGTATCTCACTCAGGGGCGTCATGCACTCATGATTTTTGAGGGGGCACGAGTGGGGGGGTGGGGGCTCGTCATGCTTTTCATGTGACACAGCAGCCACAATAGCACTGTATAACTGATATAGGCTTATGTTTTATTTAATTTTTTCCCTTTTTATTCGAAATATTTCCAAACGTGTATCAGGAAATATCTCGATTCTCAAACATGTGTAAGTAAATGCGTACCAAAATATTTTTAATACGACTGACTTTGTACTTAATGTGAATTTAATAACAATATTGTAAGTTACTATATTAGGCTATAACATTTTCATTTTACAGAGAGCAAAGAACATTTTCACTTCAGTCTAGTCAGAGTTCAGGCACTCTCAAAAACTCCCATTTAAATCACTGAAGCTGTTTACACGGTGAAATGAATATCTTACTTATATCTCTGCAACAGCGCGTTTCAGCGATGACTCATCTGAACGTCTCTGATTACCCATTGCATTCATAAGCTCAACAGACTCATGATAATATTTATGTGGATACCAGCTCAGGGGGATAAAGGGTAATGAAAAGGTTGATGGATTAGCAAAACAGGCATTGGAAAACGAGGAGATCATGAATATCTCAATTAGTTAATATGAAGCAAAAGCAGTAATTAAAGCATATACCACTAAGGAGTGGCAACATAAATGGGATACAGGAAATACAGGACGTCAACTTTAAGAAATACAACCAGACGTAGGAGTAACGTTAGTGAGAATAACTAAAAGAAGCACCAAAGAGGAAAATATTGTAACAAGATTAAGGGTTGGGCATACTATGCTGAATAAAAACTTTAAAATAATAAATAAACATCCAACAGGATTATGTGAGCACTGTGGAATGGAGGAATTAGTAGAACATGTTATTTGTGTTTGTCAAAAATATAGAAGGCTATGTCCCAAAGCTTGCAAGCTTGCCTACTACACACTCAAAAGTGTGTACTTTTTCTTCACCAAAAAAGTACATACTTTAAGGGCGTAGTATGTGTATATGTGTATAGCTGGGACGCAGCAAATCTCTGGTTGAGCCCAGTCCTCATTCTAAAGCAGCGAGCAGACGTAAACCAATAAAAGATCGGTACTCGCGTGGGCGTTCCCTTCTGTGTCCCTCTCTCCAATCAGAGAAGCCTGTGTTATAGAGGTATAGGAGTAAATAGAAGAACATCTGATAAGTTAGGGGTTTACACAGTGGAAATGCTGGCCATGTTAATAGCATTAAGATGGGTGGAAAAGACAGGACAGGACAAAGTTTTGATATGCTCAGATTCGGCATCAGCTCTAGCTAGTCTAAGGTCATTCTATTCTAAAAGTCGTCAAGATATACTGTTTGAAGTACTCCAGTCAGTGACAAGAATAGTAAATCAAGGAAGACAGGTGAAATTTATATGGGTCCCAGGTCATGTAGGGATAAGGGGGAATGAAATGGCAGATAAATTAGCAAAAAGGGCATTAACAAAAGGAAAAATAGAAATGCAAGTAAGTGTTAGCAAAGCAGAAGTTAAAAGTGTAATATGGGAGAGAATAAATCAAAAGTGGCAAGAGAGGTGGGATGGAGAAGGGAAAGGTAGGCACTTATATCAAATCCAAAGGGAAGTTAAACATAAAATTGTTGATAGTGGAAATCGGAGAGAAGAAATTGTTAACTAGGCTAAGACTGGGACATTGCTTATAAATAAAACACTTAAATTGATAGGGAGGCATGATACTGGACTGTGTGAGGGTTGTCAGGAAGAGGAGTCAGTAGAGCATGTGGTCTTGA